CATTCCCCCAGAGGAGCTGGAGGAAGTGTCTGGAGAGGGAAGTCTGGGCATCTTTGCTTAGACTGCTGCCCCCGCGACCCGGTTCCGGATAAGAGGAGGAAAATGGATGGATAGATGGAACTTTAAGTTATTTATATATTGTTCAAGATTATTAAGGAAGTTGATCTCATAATTCTTAACCAGGGCTTTATAATCTGGGTGTGGCTCTCACAGAGTCACCTGCACAGAGCCTCTTCTGTTACTGCACCTGAAACTGGAGCCGGCGATTGTGAGCCGGGTGCCTCCAGCTGTGCCTCCTCTGCGCGGAGAAACCTCCGTGATCACCGGTGTTAACTGAGATTTGTATGTGAAGCCGTTTGATACGTGGACGGCATTCTGCTGGTTAATGACATCAATCACACAGCTGACCTCAGACTGAGCGCCTGAGAGAAGACAAGGACACACACGCAGACAGGCACATGCAACAATAAAAGGACAGGAAGGATGAAGACACTGTATGTGCACAGAGATAACAGCCAGCCGAAGATGTACAGATGACATTCCTAGACGCTGTCTGCAGTAGAGTTCTTAAATTTAGTATAGACAGGACTGAGTTAGTTATAAAGAGAAAACCTTTAACCCTTTATTAAAAAGATGGTTTGCTTTTGATTAGATGAACATCTTCACATCCTGAAACACATTCTAACAAATACAGTCAGGTATGACAAGGACGGGGTCACTTTTTGTTATAGGATGCAAAGGTTTAGGTTTAGTTTCAGAAGTTGGGAAACTGAAAATTACCACCAGGTCCAGAAAAGCTGGTACAGACCTTGTGTTGACGTTGTTTGTTGAAGTGCTGCTTGCAAGGCCAAATATATTATTGTATTATTTAAATATAAATAATCAAAACTCCCTGGACAGCACTGAGGGGATTGTTTGTGTGAAATAAAGGTACCGTTGTTCAGTGGGGACTCGCAGTACAGACAAGTTGATGTTGACATATCTCTGTAAACTTTACACTCCTTCCCGCAGATCATCACAGTGGAGTTGAACGGGTCAAACCCAGAACCCTGGAGGGTCAGCAGAGCTCCACCACCAAAACTCCCTGAATAACAGACAAGGAGAAAATTTAAGATACTTCACAATCGACACCCTTTCAAAACAACAGCAAACCTTTTCTAGCAATGACAGCTGATGTCAAGTGGACCGCACAAGGCAGAAATCCCCTCTGTGTCCCATATGCAAAACTTCCCTTTGTATTTTTAAATATTTGGTTGTAGGGGTGGACAAACCTAATCCTGTTGTGAGAGGGTGTGTTTTCTCTTCCTCTTTAGTGTTTAGTATATTTAACTTTTGTGTTTTTCTTTTCTTACTATTCTCAGATAGCCTATGTAACTGTTTCTGTGTGTTTTCCATTGTCTTGCATGCTGTTGTGTTATATTTAATATAAGAGGAAAAAATAAAGGATTAAAATAGGAAAGAAGATCATGTGGAACTTAAACTCACTGTAATCATTAGAGCAGCAAAGAATACAACAAATTCTTGGATTCAGTGTGGATAAAAACCACAAATTTAACATACAATAGACTTCAGATGGCAATGTGTAGACCCTACCCCTCTAAATACTGAAGGGTAGGAGGTGGACATAGTTTCCCACTTCACATTTTTGGGTATTTATAGTACAAATAACTTGACATGGACTAACAAATCCACAGCCCCGATTAAGAAGACCGAACAGTGTCTTTATTTTGTGAGGACACTTAGAAAAATCAACTTGTCTAGTGAATTGCTCTTGTCTTTTTACCACAGCTCTGTAGAGAGTGTACTAACATGCTGTGTCACAGCTTGGTATGATAACTGCTCTGCCACAGATAGAAAGGCACTTCAGAGTCTAATCAAGACTACCTAGGAAATAACTGGCCTTTCTCTGCCCTCGCTGGAAGAAACCTACAGGACTTGTTGCCTCCACACAGCCAGAAATATTCTGAAAGAAAATACTCACCCATATCAACATCTCTGCTCTTTGTTGCCATCTAAATGGTGCTCTAAAGGTTCGTGCTTCCAGGTTTAAGAGCAGTTTAGCTTTTCAAAATTAATTTATAATGTAGCCAAACTTGTCTGAAATAATCGTATGCGTTTAATGTCAGTGAGACTGGTCTTAATGGGGCCTAAAACAATTAATGACAAAAACAAAAACAAAAACAAAAGCAATACTGGTATATAGTTTTAGTGCTTACCCTCACTGGGCTGCACGCTGCTGAGAGTCAGCTCGTATATGAACGTGACATCTGACTGTGTGTAACCTTTGACCTGGTGCTCCACCATGACTGGGTAGGCCCCTCCTGGGTTGTCACCTGCAGTGCACTGAACTTGTGTGTCAGACACTGTCGACACATTGCAGGGGATGTTGTTTATGGTGACGGAGATGAGCTGAAGGTCGGTGCCATACCCTGAACCTGTGAGTGTGATGGAAAAAAACAGAGAGGAAGAGGAGGTAATGAGGGTGAGATTACAGGAGTGGATAATATGAATACAGCATAAAACAATGAATCAGTGTGTTGCTTTTTTTTTTTAGATAAACAGAGAAGCTGTATGCTTCTGTCTGCCAGACATTTTCTCCCTACTAACTGTGAGCACACATTACTACTAGTACATGATATGATGAATCATAATTACCAGTGGTGGGGCTGATGGAGTTGATGACAGGGGTGTAGGCTGTAGAGTAGTTGAAGCTGAGAGGAGGATACTGCACCAAGAAGACCTTGATGTTGACAGTCACCATCCCCTCACTGTGAGGAGGCGTCAGGCAGCGAAGCAGATCTGGCATCACCTTCTGAATCTGGCAGGGTTGGCCACCGACCATCACACTGGTATTCCCTGGAGCAAAGCCATTTCCTGAAAAGACAAGCAGGGTTCCTCCTGCCAGGCTCCCCACAATGGGGCTCAAGACGGCTTGGGCACGACTGGTCAAGGTGACATAACCAGATGCAAGGCCTGTGCTTCTCACAATCACTTTGACTGGGTAGTCGCCTGCAGGTAGAGTGCTAACGCTCACTGAAATGTTGCCATCGGTCACGGCTGTGACTTTGAGCTCACTGCCGCTGGCGAAAACTGCCACATCATCCACGTTGCTTCCAAACCCTGAGCCAGAGATGGTGACAGTAGTTTGACCATCAATGCTATTGGGGGAAATGTTGGTGACTGTGGGTGTGACAGAGGAGGAGTACATGAAGGAGCAGTCTGACTGACAGGAGCTCTCGATCCTGCCCTTGTAGAAGACAACCTCACCAGTGTGTGGCAGAGAAGGGGAGGTGTCACAGATAATGCAGGTGTAATTGACTGACACGACAGCACAGGGCTCATCAGCTACAGTTACCAGTCCCCCAGAGAAGCCAGATCCGTAGATGATGAGCCTCGTGAGGCCGGTGGGGCTGCCGACAGGAGGCAAGACTGAGTCAACCACAGGCAGAACAACAAAACGCCGGTCGAGCTCTTTTGGCACATTGATGATTGCCTTGCCCAGGTTGTTGACTCTGACGGCTACAAGGAAAGCGACACCGATGGGAAGTTTGCTGTTGGGACTGAGCTGGCAGAAGATCTCAGTCTGAGAGCTGTTGATCACCTGACAGGGCTGACCTCCTATCGTCACCTACAGGACACAGAGAGTGTGAAAACAAATTCGGCACAAATAGTCACACTCACAGAGATGGGTTTATGTGGCAATGTCACGTGTATATTAATTTGTAGTATGTGCTCTTTTAGTATCTGTTTATATGTTTTAAAGAAGAAAGTACCTGGATAGAAGATACTGTGAGATTCTCTTTCACTGATCAAAAAATAAATTTCCAGTCTACAGTAAATCCATCTATCTACTGCTGCTAACCTCATTAGCACAGGCCGTGTCACTGAGGCCTTTGCCCTGGATGTGGATGACTTGGTTGTATGAGCCCTGGTTGGGAGAGATGGAGTAGACTGTAGGGGTGAAGCAGGCGGAGGTGCTGAATGAAAGGCTGTCTGAAGTCTGATTGGTCTGCTGGCACTGTGGAGAAGCAAGGCACTGTGGGGCCGTCCCGGCAACATAACGTGAACCTGAAGGGAAGATGTTTGAACCACTGATCATTTGTGAAATTGAAGCTCTTTTATGTTTACATGGATCTCAACTGGACTCTGCTGGATGTAAAACTATTTTTAAAAAATTGCTTGATCTGACTTGACTGATCGCTTTTCATCCTCACAAAACTCATCAATTATTATTGTTACATTTGCAAATTTATAGTAAAGCTTCAGACATCTATACATATCCATGTACCTCCTGTCACACGCCTGGCCTCCACGCTTCCCACGCTGACAGATACCTCACTGCTCTTCTCTTCCCAAGACTTGACTTTCACTACTCCCTGCAGCAGCCTGAGGTTGGCATCATCTGTGTAACCACTGCTGTAGTAATATACACCAGGCGCAGTGAAACGGTAAGAGAAAACACCTGTGGAGAGCAGGAGAGAGCAACATGGTCTGCATTCGTTTCTCACACATACTGAAAGAAACATGAATAGTACTACCTTGCAAAATAAAATAACACTTGACAGGAGCCAAATATCAAAAATTGCCAATCTCTTTGCATGGTTCTTTGTATTTGAGAAAACAGTGGGAAAAAAGCATTTGTTTGGTACTGTATTAGAGGGCTCCCTATCATTTCTGTTGAAGGTTAGTAACTCCGTACTCTACCTTTGTCAGTCTTGGTCTCGCCGCTGGTGAATGGTCCCCCTTCATAAGCGGCGCCACCAGGGCTGGAAACACTAAAGACACGGTAGCCAACACTCTGGAAGGCTGGCGCCTCCCAGCGCCACATCACTGTGTCTCCGACAGACACGGTGAGTGAGGCAGGACTCCATGCAAATCCCAGTCCATAAGCTAGAGCACACAGAGAAATGGTAAGTAAGACTAAAACATAGGAAAACACACACAGGAGAGATTTCATTGTCTGAGGTTAAGCAACATAGATTTTAAGCACTTTGCAAATATTATTCTAAACATAGCTACTGTAACTAATGTAAACCAGAGGTCGAAAACAGTTGTTCTCACATTTCATCTGCAGGTGATAGCTTCCATGTTTGCAGCAGTTTTCCGTAACATAATCCTGTTTGTGTTTACTTAATTTGAGCACATTTAGTTTGAGACCTTCACAAAGGACTGAAACATAAACCTACTAAGGTCGACTCCCTGGTTTGTGACGATGTACGTCTTCTCCTCCAACTGCACAACACAATGCAGTTCATTCTCAAAGGCAACTTCCACTTCACACTTGGCGCCTCCTGTCACACCACAACCAACACAAAATGTGTGTGAGAACATGTACAGTATGAATCCAACTGCAGTTGCGCAGTAATACTGATTTTGATCAAAAATGTAATTTAAATCCCAACAAAAACCAAGCTGTCATTGTGGTAAGAAGTCTGTTTTAAACTGCTGAGCTGGGCGTTGCTTACCAACAGAGACTTTGTTGTCAGAAGTGTTGGTGCTAAAACCGGAGCCAGACACAGACAGCCTGGTTCCGCCCATTAAAGAGCCAAACAGTGGGGAGATGCTATAGATTTCCAGAATGTATTCAATGGTGGCATTCACACCACTGCTATGAAACAAAAAAACAAAAAGATTCCAATCAATCCTTGAACTCTGAAGTGTATAATCAGCTGTAATATTACAGCATAACAACCAAGGTAACTAACAATCCTGATCTTCAACTCTACTGTTACATCTCAACAAAACTTCATGTGTCAGCTTTCAGACATGCAAGAATACAGTTCAATTCATTTAGTGTGGAATTGTCTCCACTGTACCTCATCTGGGGGTAGCCACTGTTTCCAACATGGACATCCACCTGGTACAGGCCAGGCGGCAGCACGGGGAGGAGACAGGTGATGTTTGTTGTCGTCCACTGCACGGTGACGCATTCCTTCCCACCTACAAACACGATGCTGTCATTGTCTTTGTTTCCAAGGTTTGAACCCCAGATGGTGAGAAGACGATAGCCTAGAGGGAAAGAAAACCCACAAACATATCAACGCACCATGATGAGGATTCTGTCATTCAAGTGCCAGGATAACACCACTGATTGTCCTGCACATCAATTGGTATTGTTGGTGTGTGGATGCCTCTGTAACATCAACTATAATTACATGGGATTAAACATTTGTTTCAACAGCTCTGCTTCTCAAGGTTTAGCAAGGGCAAAGAGGCAGAGAAACCCTGCAAGTCAGTGTTACCCATCAGGAGCAAGACTAATAAGATGACAGTGAAAACACAAGGTTTTCACACTCTGCTTTAATTTCCTGGTGACAGTGAAGTCACACGTGAACAGTAAAGACAGAATAAAACATACAACAGACATGGACACAACGCTACTGTACAATATACTGAGCCCCTTCCCTACAAATGCATACAGTTACATTGGTAAAGTATGCTCCTCAACAATCAGAGAGGCATCTCAGGTGATATATAATCACACTCAGTTACTCTATTATACCGGTGATCTTATGGGAAAACACAGTAGCAGGAGCAGCCTTTGTTTTGAATAGTAACCTGTTCTACTACAGATCTGGTTTTATAACAAATGGGAAAATTACAAAAACAAATAAATGCATTTCATTAACAATACTGATCTCATAGAACCAATTAATTTAGAGTTCTGGATAAAAAATGACTCAGCTCACCAATCACAGTGGTGTTCTGGGGACTCAGGGCTGTGATCTGGGAAATGAGGTTATTAACGTAGGTGAAGGAGCCGCTGGCTGTCTGACTCATGTTTCCAACCATCACTGTGACGCTCTGTGATCCAGAAGTTCCCTGAAACAAGTAAAGTAAGCATTAATTAATTACACAACAAAATAAAATCAGGAACCAGTGTCTTATTCAAAGCTAAACTGAAGGAAAACTATTAGTGCGTCAGGTTGTCTTGTTTAGTTAAAACAAAGCTACAGTTTATAACTTTTGAAAGAAGAAACAACACAGTCTTCCTCTTTCATATTAAAAGTTGAATTTATAAAATAATCTTTATTTAACTGTCCCTTTTATGACAACCATTTTGCTGTAATTTCCACCAGTGGCCACAGCGGCTGCAAAATTACTGCACAGGCTCACTTGACAGAATGTCACTGACAAAATGATTTCAGTATAAAATGAATGAAATAGTTACTCTGGAAGTACAATAATATTTGCACAGTGTTGTTGGTATAAATATAAAATGTACAGGAAGTGCTTAGTGGCTTAGCCCTACAGAGAGGGAACCTGGAAACTTACAGCTGGTGTCCTGCATTTCAGCTCAGTGTCATTTGCATGAACCACTGCGCACTCCTCACTGCCCACAGTGACTGTGGTGTTCTGGCTGAAGCCGAAACCTGTCACTGTCAGCAGGGTGCCCCCTGCACAAAAGAAAACCCTATAAAGTCACAGTGAATATTTGCACTTAGTGTTTGTGTGTTCATATTGACATTGCCCTTGTTTATGAACAAAATGACACTTCTGACTCTAAGAAACTGTGAAGATTAGATGAACTTAGTTTTTCAGGTCATTATAGCTGTTTTAAATGTAATGCCCTACCTGCCACACCCCCAGAGAGCGGGGAGAAAGAAGAAACAATGAGCTGGTAGGTGAACTGGAAGATGCTGCCACCAGCATAGTGCGCGTTACCCAGAGAGGGAAGGCTGACTGACACAGGGTAGGTGCCAGCCTTGGCACTTCCCAGTCTGCACACCTGACTGGTAGCTGAAATACAGGTCACTAAATGTAGTTAAACTCTGTCCACTATATTTAAAAAGATGGACTAAATTTAACAACATATAACAACACAGTATGACAAAACTTTATTCACTTACCAGTAAAGTGTTCGACCTGACAAATGGCCTTTCCCACTGTGATAGAGGCACTTTCACTCCTGAAGCCAGTCCCAGTAACAGTCAGGAGAGTCCCCAGGCCATTAGAGCCTGAAAGAAGGAGGCATAGTTACAACACATGCAACTTATTTCATGTTTTATATAACAGCCTTTATAGGACAGGTCTTCTGTGAAAGCAGACAATTTAATACTTTTTTGGAGTATTCATTAGTGAAATATTTTAGAACCTGCACTGAATGTTTTCCATGTTGGAATAGTATGGATAATATGGGATGATACTGACATACCAAACTCTACACCAGTAGGTGGTGTCTGTATGTTTTAAAGGAGAGGAAATTGGGTAGTATGTACTATTATGTATTAAAATTAAATCAAAAACCAACAATTCTTCAACGAACAGCAGTAGTTTAGACGGTCACCTCGGGATGGGCTGATTCCAGTCACAGTTGGAGTGGCGTCCTCGGACCATTCAAACCCACAGTCACCAGAACACTTTGAGGGAATGCCATTGATGTACACCTCCACCTGCAAACAGCATTGCAAGACTCCTCATCAACAGTCACTATCATGTGATGTTACTGCTACTGAAGTCACAGCACTCTGATACAAAACAGTTATTTTGTAGCATGTAAACATTGGAATTAAATTCCTGAAGGCACAAAATATACAAATACGACAGCATCATGCAAACAGACAAAAAACTGAACTTGCTCTAGAGGATTTTAACAAAAGCAAACAAACACATTAAGGGATCAGAAGCTGCCAAAGCCTATGGTTTACAGATAATGTGGAAACTCGAAACCAAATGTACTTGAGGTTTTATGAATCACAGTCGTACCTGTGGTTTGGTTTCCCAGACACGGAAGAAATCTCCTGTCAGGCTTCGTATCAACAGTCCTCCCTGCACTATCTCACTGACTGACATGGCTACATTGTTTCCGACAACTGACGAGGAATCGACCTGCAGTGACAGTGAATCACAATCAGGAACCAAGACCAAGCTGCTGTTTCTTCCTGTAGGAACTTTGATTGTTTACTGGAACAGACTCTGGTGTTACTGTGATACTATTACTCCTAGTACTGTTACTGCTGTAGCTGCAGTACTGCAGCTGTTACTACTATACTGGTGTTAGTTTAGTAACAGATGTGACAACAGGGGGTCACAAAGCTGTCAAGGTCTTAAATAAATCAAGGAAATAGTGGTCATGTCTGGTTTTGTTGAAAGGAAGACAATAAGAATTATGCTCGACGAAGTTGCCAAATAAGATGGGACAGAGATGTTAAAACATATATTTAGACCTAAACACACATCTGTCATATTGCTGCTTCTGCTAAAAGACATCAGGAGCAATGAAAATAACAATAAAATAATTATGAAATGGAGTCTGACCTGGATCAGAGGCTGGTCTCCAGGCTTTGTGAGCCACTTGACCTCCCAAACGAGGTTTTTGCAATTTCCCTGCTTTGACACGCTGACCTGACCCATCCCTGCGATTCCCTCCAGTGCGTACTTCAGGTCCTTCTCACTGATGTCCACAGACAGACCTGAGAACAAGCACTGGTTGTGTGAGACATCTCCCTGCAGAAGCAACTTGTATATCTCACACTGCTTGAATAGATGTAGATGTAGCGGTCTGAATGCAGATACACGGAGTCATGAACAAACTATGAGAAAACTATGAGATTAAAGTCTGCTTGTTTTGTGTTTTATTTACATAAGTCTTTGTTTCTTTACACTCCCTTCAAGTCTCTTTATGGACATTTTTGTCTCGGTGTAGTTGTTTTGTGTCTCTGTGGGATGGTTTTGCAGCAGTTTGTGGTCTTTTTTTTATCACAAACACAATCTTTACTGATCTGTTTGTAGACACACTGTGATTATTTTAAATTGCAGGTTGCAAGAAAGATAAATCTACTTTAATCATTTCTGTTTTGATGGAGGGTGTTTCATCTCTCAGCGTCAGGTTTCTCTATCAGTGAATCAACACTAGAGTTGGGTCAGTGAGTTTAATCTTTTGGGTGAGCATACAGTATCTATGCAACAGGCTGCATCCAGCCAGAATAGTTAGAATGGTTAAAATGAAAATACTGCACCTTCAGCTCTGCCTCCATAAATCTCCACATCAAAGGTGCCTTTGAGAGGAGGGGTGGCTCTGTGAGGGCGAGTGATGGTGACAGTGGCTGCTCCTTGGCTGAACTCAGCCATGTCCTCACTGCTGCTAGACATCTTTGAACAGACAGTGGACAAAACAAGTAGTCAGAGAGACACCTAGCTCTTTTTTCAGATTCATACCCCTGTTCTTCCAATCCTAACATCATCATACTCTGTAGTGGCAATTTTAAAAAATACTGTCCCCCTAATAAACCACAGAGGTTCAAGGAGGGAGTGACTGAGATAACTAATAGCAGGTTGCCACATGCTTGCTTCACTTCAGCTTCACTCTTTGCCCACATTTGGGTTTCCTGACTCTAAATAACAAAATGAACCTAAACTGGACACATCCACGCACTTCTGCAGTTTACCAAACCGCTCTAAAGGAGGAATATAATATGTTCATGATTGCTATAGTAGTTGATCTGACATTGTTACACTACCTAAATTAAAGTAATTATTTACCTGCATGAAGCCAACGGCTAGCAGTGGAAAACCAAAGGCACAATTATTCGGCATTGCTGTGATCCTGTAGCTGATCTGTGAAACAGCTGGTGTGTCTTTGGTAACGATGATCTCCTGGAAGGAATGACCAGAGCCCTCAAAAAGTGAGGGCCTCCTCTTATAAGGAACAGCTGTGAGAAACAGCATAGATCAATTAAAAAATTGGCTTAACAGTTAGATTATGGTAACAGTGAGCAACATCTGCTCAGCCTATCTCATACTCAGTTTTTACAAGCTTCAAAACAATGGGCTGTTGAAAATTGGTAATTTCCTGCAGAAAAAAATACTAAAATAGAGCCTGACATTCCTCTGATATTCAATCCAGTTCAGAAACTGTGTACCATTTTCATCAGCTGTGGTGGATTTCTTTCCAATGTGCACAACATCTACATAGAAGTCTGCTCCCGAGGCATCTTTGTAGAGGTACAACTCCAGCAGACTGTATTTGCTCCCAATGTAGTCTGTCTGCAGAGAACTCAACAGGTCCATGCATTTGTAGCTCCATCTGTGAGGAAGTAATCACAGAAAAACTCTACATTTTTACACAGTATTTCACAGAGCATGAGTGATTATGTAACCAGCATCTGCATATATCTGACAGATTCAAATTGTTATGGTTTTTACTGACTTGAGGCCCTTGGTGAAGGCAGTGTTGACCTTTGTGATCTGCCTATATGCTTGGCCCTTGCTGTTGCTGTAAGTAAACATCACTCCAACTTCATCCTTCAACATTCCTTTGTATGCAAAGCAAAGCTGGAAGGAAAGGGATAGAAAACGTGTTGTGACCAGGTCCAAGTCAGCACATTTCTGTACATATGTTACTTTCTTAATGACACTAATTTACAAAATCTGTGCCAATCCAACTGGGTATGCCAAAGCAGCAACAGTAAATAAAGCAGTTGTGTTATACCATGGGGTACTGGTCCAGTGGAACTGGTCCATAAGCATCACCAGACTCTGTGGTGAAGCTGGTCGTGAAAAGAACCTCAGCATTCCTCAGTGAACACAACCCACAAAAACCTGAGGTCTCCATAGGAGTCCCTTCCTTGCCACTATCAAACTGGAGAGAAAAAGAGTTGATTTAACATGCAGACAGCAGAGCTTTTTCTGCACTACACAAACACATCTTTGCTCTGTCACCACTGACCCAACAGTTGACTTTTTCAAAGTCATTGAAGTATTTCACATTGGTGCCTTCAGTGCTCAGGATCTCAGTGGGACACTTGGGTCTCATCAAGTCGTGCAGAGCCGACTGCACCTGTTCACAATCACACAAGGTGGACACTGGTATCGTTTCTGTAGCTACTACACTGCCAGACTTGCAGTGAGTTTCCAAAACGAGAATCAATTTTGACATATATTATATGTCAAATTTCAAGTCACAACATTATTTCAAGAGCTTTGTTTGTGATTCTAAATGGCACATTAAAAACTTTACTTAAACATTATAAAATTAAACCTACAGTATTAAACATTATCCCAGCCAAACTGAGAATAATGAGGTTTATTGATGTCTGAGCACAGACGGAATCAGGAGCCGAGGTTTCAACAAAACAGACCTCATCCTCTGTTGCGTCGAAGGCAATGGGCTTTGTGGGGATTCCCCCCCACAGCAGAGTGAAGGTCTTCAAGCTGCTTCTCCCCTTGATGACCTCAGAGATGGAAATGTTGGCGTTGGAACTAAAAACCTCAAAGTCAAGAGGTTCGAAATCACCTGCAATCAAAAAAGACAAATGATCAATTATCTTTTGCACTTTTGCTGCTAAAACCAAATGTAAGATCAGGTGCAGTGATACCACGTAGCAGAATAGTCTGTTATGCTAATTGTAAATAAAAATTCTACACAGATTAGTTGTTACTGTACACACTTTTTAACTATTGATTTATCTACTGAACCTTATTTAAATCTGTGGGAATTCGAGGCCAAAGCCACGTTGAAGTCAGTTTGCATACCACTAAAGAGAAACATTAATCCACCCCCCAAAGCCCTTGACCTGTTTATCAGTCTCTTCTTACCTCTGTCAGAGTTGAATATGACTGTGTAGTGAGATCCTTTACTGTCGACCTGTTTGGTGACCGTGACTGTGTCGGGTGTGATGGACCAGAGGCTGTTCAAGGCTGCTTCCACTATGTTCGCTGAGGCACTGACTGGGATTGGTCCTACAGGTGACAAAGGCAGGTGTACTGTAGTATTTGTTGCTGATGCAGTCATAGATTTGAGGCAATTAATATGCAAAATGCACATGCACTAAATATCTATAGGGATCATTAGGATACTCTTAGGTTTGTTTGCTCCTGTGGGATTAGAGCAACCATGTCAGGTTTAGCAATTTTGATTTTCTTGTGCTGCTACCAGCCATGCACTTTGGTGCAATTAAGAGGACAAGATACAAATGCACCAAAATATTTATTTTTTAATGAGTTAAATGTAATTCACATTACCAGTCTTTGCATCTTTGTAAGCCAGTCTGAAGAATGGGCTCCCACACAGAGGACAGCTGCTGCTGATGCTCACCTTCTGAACCTCTTTGACTGCGGTGACGGCAGTGGGCCACAAGTTCAAGGTAACCACCTGGGGAACAGTCCCAGTGAGGTACAAAAGAGAGGAGTACTAGTTAGCACGCTGGCATCGTAACAGCTGGAAAGAACATTATTTATATGATTCAAGGTGGATCTGAAAAATCAAATACAGTTAATTCTGCCTCTATTATAGGTTCAGACTTATGGCCTGCAAACTCTCATCAAGCCATGTAAGAACTGCCTGTTGAAATTTTTCTTTCACTGTCCTCTGAATGGTTTGACATTTTAGGAAATATACATATTTGTTTTCTTGCAGAAATTTAGATGAGAAGATTGATACCACTGTAGTATCTGTAGATGAATAACGGCCCTGGAACCTGAGAGTTTGAGATGATGGCTTTTGCAAATACACCACTAAACATAAATTTGACTGATTTCCAGCAAGCTGCTTTATTTCTAAATAGTGAAAATGTCCACATATAAGTTATTATGACCCCGTGAAAATGTTTTTACTACCTGAATGTTGCACACTCAACTGTTTGTGAATGGGAGCCCAGTCATTGTAGCACCTCCAAGCCTCACTACTTAGCATGTTATATCTTCTGTTTGCATAAAAAAACACAAGTTGCGGTTTCACTAGAAGTTGTACCTGACTATTTACTGACCTGACACAGTGGCTTCCGTGAACTGTTTCCAGTGTTTATGCTAAGCTAAGATAACTCTCCCCTGGCTGTAGTTTCATGATCTGTGGCACTGATCTTCTCAGTTAACTGCAAGAAGGTGCAAATTTACCAAAATATCTAACTCCTCCTTCAAGGGGAAGTGAGGAGATAATCTCAGGTGTGCTGTGTTTAAGGAAAACATCCCTCAAATGAGAAGCATGTTAGCCACGACATACCTGTTCCTCATTGAATACATCATATTCAGCCACGATAGCCTGAACTTCATTGACTGCATCTTTTGTCTGGTCTTCTGTAAAAGCACTCTCTGCTTGGAACAAGGCAATGTTGACACTAGCTGCACCAGTATATTCTTTGTGCAGAATTTCCATGTAGTAGCTACAGAAAAAAATATATTTAGAATTAAATTCAGCATGTTGACAGCTAGTGCATTTTACAGTGAGTTACTGAGTCATGGCTTTCAAGAGCTACATAGAATCCTACTCCCATACTTACGGCTTTTCCTTTTCTAGAGCCATTACATCCATTGTATGCGGTACCCAGAACCACCTGAGGTCATTTAAGTTATGTGCAACTTTAACCTGAAGTGGAGGTTTAAAAAAAAAGCACAAGTAAAAAAATCACTTTATCAGAACATATGTACAACTGCTACAGTATAACACATTTTCTTTGACTACTTAAAATGAAAACATGAAACAGCGTGTTCTGTATTTTGTTTAAAACTCTCTTCTCATGCCTTATGCTCTGGGCGGCTGGAGTTGCTGAGGTAGAGCTCACAATAGTCATCACAGTTGATGAAAATTGCATAGTTGCCGGTGGCTGGAGGGACAAAGAAACCTCTGGATCGTGAGCTGAAATAATCTATTTCAGGCACATGGGAAGAGGGCATGGAGTCGATCCACTGCGACCAGTATCCAGTTGTGTTCTCATTGTAGCTCCCCATATCAGTCAGGTAACTGGGAAATGTTCTGTTCCACACCTCCATCTTCAAGCCTCTGCCACCTGAGTTTAGATGAAGATATACATGTGACAAAATTTAAACGAGTGATTGGATATCAAACTTAGACCTAAAACAAGTGGGGATTAACTCTCAGTGAGTCACAGGACAAAAAAAATTAACTAACTATTTAATAACCTATTAATCATTTCAGTCATTTGAAAGTGGCCACTCAGGAGAGCTTTTCTGAAACAGGTGCTCTTCCTGCTCTTGAAATGATTCATGCTCTTGGTATTACTGTTTGCTTTCAAGTCACCAGGATGGCTGTTAAAGCCGATCTTCATTTATTTATTACAAAAAAAAGATGCCAAAGATTGTAGAATGTGCCAGTGATTGTATCTGCTGCTGATGTCAGCCCAGCTCTGTATGATTAAAAATATGTGCTAGTGTCACAGTGAGATCACACTTTGTTACAAACCCAAAGCCCCTACAGTCTGACAAGTTGACAGGGTGAAATCATTATCTTGAAAACAAGACACAAGTAGAACAAATACTTTCAATTCTTCCACCAATCAAGTTATGTTCAAGCAAAGCAAACAGAATAGATCAAGACAACCATTTGCATCACATTAAAAGACAAAATGACAGAGGCTGAGGAGGCATCTTCTCACCTGGGTAGACCTTCATATCAGTGTTCATCTGGTGCTCAGCAGTCCTACATGTAATGCTGCCATCGGACACACTCAGGATTTCACAAGGCAGGCCTGAAGAAAAAGTGTCTTCACTCACACACAATACAATGGACAAAAAACACTTATCTTCTCTACTTGTACTTTACTTAATTGTACTTATAATAGTAAACCCAGGCTCAGTTTTTCTACATAACAAACACAACCTATCAAAATGTAGCAGTTTTGATAAGCTACACACAAACACTTGCACTGTGGGAAGAATAAAGTTTAAATGATCTTATGTATTTTATTGATGTTGCTAAATGAAAGTTTGTGAGCTCTGACATCTGATAAAAGTGGAATGTGAACCGTTTTTCTCATGCGACTAAAGTTTTCAAGTCTTCATAAAATCCCGCAAAAACTTTAATCTGGTCTACAGATGAGTCTTTGGAGAGCCGGTTTAATGCCTTAAGTTTTATAACCTTAAATCATGGGCGATGAGGTAAAAGTTGTAATACATAACTTTTATTATCCAGTAAATCAGAGTCTTTGAATTTTAAGTAGGTAAATTAAATGAGGAGTTATTCATGCTCTGCATTCTGTGTCAGATTTATGAATTTGCCCAGGTTCTACCAGAATAGTGATTTAATTCTGATAACTGTATTTATGAATCTAGAAAAGTGACAGTTATCTGTCAAGCATGTGCTGCAACTCAAAGTCAACAGCATGACCTTGGAAATCTTCTAAAAGACAACACAGTGGGGGGTTGTCACAGTCTGTTGTGTCTCTATTGTGCAACGTTTCTATGGTTTTATTTTGAAGTATGCACACATTGTATTGTGCTGGAAAGGATTATCACTATGCGTGATTTCAGTTTTTTGTTGTGGAGACGCATCATATTAATTCAGAACAAAATGTTTGGCAAAGTGTTAACGGTGTTTGTTTCTGCTCTGATGGTGACGATTACCTCCAACAAGGACACGTGCTGGCTGGTCAGTTTGGTCGAAGAAACGGCCATAGACAGTCAGCAGTGTTCCGCCCATGATGCTGCCCTTTGATGGAGAGACTCCTGTCACCTCTGAAAAACAAACATTTCAGTGTAACAAGAATAAATACTACAGAGGAAGCACTTCTGAAAAGTTTCACATTTATTGTGGGCACATGCTTTGCTGTCTAATATACCTGCAAAAGTCTGGAACATGGAGAGCTTGCCTAAAGCTGAAACCCAGTACAGCTTCTTGTCTGGTAAACTCCTGGAGAGTATGAAAGAGAAATGGACATTATTACAGCTGTTCAAATGATGAGGAACACTTTTTAGCCATTTGTGCTTTTAAAATGTTCATTTATAGATTTATATATATATTTAGGTGGTACTGTCGCCTCACAGCAAGAAAGTTCCAGGTTTAAACAGGGCTGAGTCAGGAATTGTGACACAGTCAAAGGCTGAATATATCCAGTTAGTAATCTTTCTGAAGAAAGATGAAACTGGAGTATGTAAGGTATCTTTGTTTTACCTTCCATATTCATTATCAAGAATGTAACTGAAGTTGTGATGCCCTGTTGGAAATGACACATGATAATTAAAGGACAGTTTGGACAAGTTAAAAAGTCATCTTTTTATATTAGATATTCAGAGCAGCTGTAACTCTGAATCAAAACAGCTTACCAACATATGTCCCTGTCATTTTGCAGCTCATGTATCCCCATTCAGACGTTTCATAGTCCAGGTGTAGGTTGTATCTTTAGAAATATTTGAAAGACTTTAAATATTGTACAAAATAACAAAATAATGACCAAATAATTTGTAACAGTTTCATGTAACATAACATCGTTACTCAAAAGACTTGAAGTTGCAGCTGAAGTTGGTAAGAAAAATATCTGAATTAGACATTTTTATTGTTTATAATCTTGTGTATTATACAGTTTGCTTATTTTTTTCTTTACTGTAATTTAATTTAACTGCTTACGGTTCATCTGACTGTGGTTTAAGCAGCACACAAGGCATTCCTCCCATGTAGGCTCTGCATTAAACAAGAGGGTTACAAGAGTATTTCATTTCAATACACAAGCTAGCAAATAAATTGTCCTCTGACTCTCAGTCTTACATTTTCTTAAAATAAGTGAATAAATATCAGTGGGTTGAGATCTTTCCACCTTTCAATGCAAATACAGTAAACATCTTAAAAGAGGTGTGTCAAACTAATTTCTTTAGCGTATATTAATGAGGCAGACTGACAGGATCCCCCATTTTAAAGAGCTAATATATTTTGGTGAGACAGCAATATGAACATTTTGAAGTGTATCTATGTTTTGTGTATTTTATACCTCAAAAATCTGACATTGCGGCCGTTTGAGCTCACAGCCGTGCTGCTTCCATACACATCAGTGTAGATCTTTCCTCGCACTGTCACCAAGGTTCCTGCAGAGATTTTGAAGTAGGTTTAAGATGATGGTTCAAACTAGACTCTGTAAATTCACCACATGCTAGAGAAGAAGCTACAGGCTGCACCTGGAGGACCACTGACTGGACTCAGAGAGTAGATAGTAGGGGTGGAATACGAGACAGGCTGAGGAGAGTTCAGGTACAAACAGAAACATAATGTTAGAAACCAACCAGTGAGGCAAACCCAAACTCAACTGCAGGGAATAAATTCTCAGTCAGTCTTTTACCTACAAACTTACATAGAAGCTGCAGGGGTATCCTTTGTACATGCCACCACACATATTGCTGTCAGGAATGGGAACACCATCCACACTGACGTGGACCAAATAGACATCACTCAGCATGGGTCTGTGATGGATGAATGAATCATTTTAGATGCTTTAAACACATGCATGCAGTGGCTTACATGGTTATTAAACCGATGTGTAGGCTACCGGGTGTAACAAAGGATCTGGGTGCTGTGTGTTGAGCCTTTCTCCACATCACAGGGGACTGACAGGGTGTTTGACACCAGGGTCACACGGTTTCCAGATGTGTCATCTGTTGGATTTAGCTGGAACTGGCGCTGCTGGGCAAACCCTGAAAAACATTGAAATAAATCCTTAAAACAAAAAATGCAAGAATGTTGTGCTGGTTTAAAGGAGTCAGTCAGGCAGGAAATGAAGGAAATCACTGGGTCATAAAAAGTACTGAAAATTCAGCTAAAGTCACAAAACTTTAGATTAGAAGTTGTACAACAATTTAGAAACAAATAATCTACAACTACTTTACATACTCTATATTCTTCAGTTACAGCTCTTCAGCCAATCAAATCTTTTGATAAGGTTTTGATTATTTTAACAAATATATCTCATTATCTGTTTAAAGCCTCATAAATTAATTAAAATTAAGATTCATGGGTATCTTAAAACTTAATCTGTAACAAAACCATAGTGTAATAGTTTTGCATTAAACATTAGCATGAACTAAACCGTGCAAACTGTGACCTGTCCTGTTGTAAGCTCTTACCTGTTCCTGAAATGGTGAGTCGTGTTGCTCCATTGACGCTCCCTCGATTTGGATATATGTAGTTAACGCTCTGAGCACCTGAAGATATATGTACAACTATATGAGACCTTTGAGAATTGGGTGAGCAGGTCACTTGTTATGAAATATTTTAAAAATACACACTAGTCCTACAGAATGCAATTTCAAAACAATAGGCAACAGTTATCGTCAGCTGTAATAAACAATGTATTTTTTTTCCAGCTACTTACTGCAGCAGCACCAAAGTGTGAGGAACAGAACCATCACCTTCAATGTGGACCCCATCCCGGAAATTTCCTAGATTTCCTTGCTGTCTCACCTGCAGGCTGCTGCTCAGGTCCTGGTATGGAAAAACCGTGAACCATTCACAGTCAAAAAGTGCTGTTTCAGAATGTTGTCTGAAGGATTTTAAGAAAATACAAAGCAGAAAATGAAATAAAATATTAGAGAAATAGAAAGTCTCTGAAAACTCAAATGGTCTCCCTTAAAATTAAAACCACTACTGAGTAGATTAAATACATCTCCATAGGTTTGCAGCTGTATTGTGAATACTTGCATAAAAGTCGATATCAATCTCAAGTGATGTTGAAAAATGTTAGATTTTTAAATTAAACTGTGATTTAAAAATGAATAAAGACCACGTGTTGTCAGCTGTAAAATGAGTCAAACAGAGACACTGTCCCTGTGTATGAAAAGTGCATTCTGCTATATATTGTAGCTCTGTGTCACGCCTCTCACCTGAAACTGGGAGGAGACTGGGAAATCAACCAGTCTAAATCAAAAATGCCTGGAGCTGGGTCAAATGATGATGAGGAACAGCTTCGACTTTGAAGTAAAGAGAAAAAAATCGAAACTATAAAAAGCCAATAGTGAAGAGTTGGCATTTCAGGTTTTGTATGTCAAAGTAAAAAGAAGTGTTACTGAACATTAAAGCAGAAATGACTGGAATGCAAATATGTGTGACAACAACAACATAATGAAATCCAACAGTCACTGAAAAGACATGACCTTTGTGAAGAAAGCTCATAATATTTATTTTTTAAGCTCTTATTTTGCAATTATAGAGCCAACTGTCAATATTTAATTCAACACAATGAGCACCTGTACAGTGTGCTCTTTAGTTACAGGGCTGTTAGTGGATTGTGTTAAAATGGTGTTTGTGTTATTGTGTCCTCACTCTCACACGTTATATATAAACCGTAACATGTAAAGACAATCACAGTGGTGGTTGAAAGTTTTATAAAAGTGGCTGTAATAATGACAGACTCAAGTACTGTACTTAAATACAATTTTGAGGTATTGGTACTTTACTTGAGTATTTTCATTTTGTGCTAATTTGTACTTCCACTTCATTACATTTTACAGGTAAATGTTGTATTTTTTTTACTCCACTACATTTATTTTATAACTTTAGTTACTTTTCAACTAAAGGTTAATACAAAAATTACAGTACAATCAAAAGACTTTATTGATCTCCAGGGAAGAATTCTCAAGCTAACCAGCAGTGTGTATTGTACTTCAAATTATAAGCATATAAACTGGTTACAACTAGCTCCTCCTTTACCAGCTGCAACATTAAAGTGATGTACACAATAATGGATCAATAATTACATTTCAATGATATATATTCATGTTAATGCTAATACTTTGTACTTTTACTTAAGCAATATTTTGAATTGAGAGGGTTTTTTGTTTGTTTTGTTTTAACTAAGTAACAGATTTCAGTACTTCCTTCACCACTGCAATCCAACACCACAATATTCCTTTGTCAAAGCATTCATGTCAGGGCACGTCCAGTTTCAAGTTCAAGTTTAGGCTAATTTTTTCTTTGCAGCTCTAAAAATGTTTAATTTCCACAAAGGTTCTGCAGCACTATGTGCATGTTTTTTGTGACCAGGTGGCTACAGCACTGGCTAGATGCCCATGGAGGCAAGAAGAAGAAGAAATTGCAACAAATCAGCACCTACAGGACAAAGAATAAGCACAGTCTCAACAACAGAGAGATAATGTGACAGTATGAGGGCAGCATATTATATTAGTAGAAGGTGTCCCTATTTGCTTATAATGGAATAATTCCACATTACAACAAGTGGTGTATCTGCAGAAGAGGGAACATTGCAAAGAATACATCTCACCTGTCTCACAGTCTAGTTTCCCCCATGCCATCAGGACAGAGATACAGAAGCATTTCTTCAAGGATCATACATTTAAGGAACAGTTTTTTTTTCTCCCCTCAGCAATAAGACTGTTGAACAACAGCATGAGCATTACTGCAAAAATAACTGAAAATCTCTGATTAGTTGGAAAGGTCAATCCTGCTCAAAACCTTTTAGATGCTAGTATCTGTTATGTTGAATGACTCTAGATAACAGGAGGCTCTGACAGCACCTCTCCACATTAAGACAGGTTGTGGAACAGATTTCTACAATAGAAATATTAAAATAAAAGTTACATACTATAGCTTTAAATTAGGACGCAAACAAGGAGAGGCAGAAACATGTGCAGCTGATGAGTGAGAGAAATAAAGTGGGAGAACAACATTGTCATATTTAACAAACTCAATAGTGAGAGACAATTGTTTAAGGTCTTAAGACTTGGATAATAAAATCATTATTACACAGACGTCATGCAGCGCCAGTCAGCCAATCACTCCTCTCACATTTGGTTGTTAGCTGGTCTTGTTAGATGCTGGTAGGGGTGTACGGTGAAAGCAATTAGTGAGTGCAGCAAACCAACATTTGATGGGGAATCACAGGAAATAAAATCCTGAACTTTTTTGGACTGTTTGAGAAGCACATATGTCAATACATTAGCCATGTATTTCATCAGTTATTTTTTCAGTTTGTCAAAATGAAAATGTATTTGAGAAGGGAGAAAGAGACAATACAGGAGGAACAGTAGCTGCACAGAAAAATGTTTTTCTTTGTTACTGTTTTTTGAGTTTATATATTTTGAGCTCATAAATAAATGATTTTCGTTTCAAGGCATGAAGCTAATATCAGCATCAATTTCAGCTGCCAACACTTTAGGCAGTGTTTATATAATAATTAAAGTAATATACACGTTCACTTTTCAAATTCCTCATTAGTTTAGGTGGGAGTCAGAAAACTGATTGTGGTAAGCGATGAGAGCAGTGTGGGTGTGAGGGATGGAGCTCTGGAGATACCAAAACGTACAGTTAAAACTTCAGTGGTGTGGATCAACATCAACTGAATACGATTAGATTTCCTTTTTTTAAATTGGCATTCAGTGCTGTATCTGTTCTAGTGTGCTGGCAAAGCCACGCGCTGACAGCTATCATACATAATAACCACACACACAGGGACCCATTGTACTATATGAAGATGCACAGCTCACATACACAAGGTCTCTCACTGCCCACGCACCAAACTAAAAACTCAGTGTGTAGAAATACCCCTGACACTGTCTGTTATTTGAGAACTGCACAAAACAAGTAATTTCCATTAAATCTGAGAGAAAATGTGTCATCCTGCAGGTTCAGACAGTGAGTGCATCTTGCTCTATTTCCTCTCCTCAATTAGGAGAACTGAAGAGTCCCACAACAATGTAGAGGATGAGGACAAAGACTTTTGTTTATAGCACAAAACACTCATAATGCCGTCTGTTGAGAAAAGAGATGGCAAAAAAGGTCTGTCTGCATTTTTTGGGTCTCACCAAGAATCAAACAGTCCTCAGTAGCAATTCCAACAAAACACAATCAGGACCCCCAGTGACCAAAATAGGTATGAATGTATTTATTTTTTTTCCCAAAACTGCTGCATAACAAACTAAAAACAATACGAAAACACAATACAAAATAAAAATAATACTTCAGCGTTGCTCACAATGAGAACAAACATCAGTTTGGATCTACAGCGAGTAAAAAAAACTTTGTCTGGTTCACAAGGTCGCATGCTGAGCTAGAAAAGCTCTGATTCTCTGAAGGAGCTCTTTTTTCACACTATCTGGTACAAGTGCTGCAGAGAGAACATAAAAAAAGAGATGTCAGAATGTCAGAACAGTGACCAGAAAAACAGAAACATATCTGTGATCCAATCCATAGCAACAGTCCTAAATAATTATAATGAATAAGCTATTAACTACTGCTGTTAACTTTGAAATGGTGACTATCAGATGGCTGGTTTATTATGTACAACCTGCTAAAACCAATGGATTCTAAAACAAAAGCCCTATAATGACTCCTGAATTCATCACGATTACGATCAGATTTTATCTGTGTTGTTTTGATGAAGGGTAAGGTTAAATTTAATTGTCGTTTTGGGGCTGCAGGGTTTTTTGCATTGCATTACAATATTATCAATTTCAATATTCAGCAGCTGTTATACTGTAAAAATATTATAACTATTATATCAATAACAGCTTTCAGCATTATGTTGTCCAGTACACATGATAGGCTCTGAACAGACAGTAAAGCAGCAGTCTTGACAAAGACAGCACATTTTATTTCAAGTACTATTTAGGGTAAAAAAAACAAACAAACACTTGGGTCAACAATTAGCTGTGTATCTTTAAAAAGTTGAGTAGCATTTCTCTCAGCATAGTTAAACCTATTAAAAAGGGAACGGAAAAATGTTACAAGTGTAGAAGTAACAGCTTGAGAAGACATTCCATTCCTGGAAATATTGTAAAGTATTCTGCTCCATTACTTTAGAATATACTAACTGATGGAAAAGTACGGCAACATTTTATATGGCAAATAAACTTTTATTGAGTAAAGATCTGACCTGATTCCACTTTATAAATGTCCCTGTATAAACTGGCCAGATGTGGACTCCTTTGCAGTTTACAAGTAAGAAGAGATTTTTTTTTAAAACTTAGTAAATAAAACTAGTACAATTAAAAATAATTCCTTTTTCATCTGTTAAAACCTCAGTTTTCCCCATATTTTCCCATTAAGTATCTTCACTGAAGCCTGTCTCCCTGTACCACATACTGTATGTATTGTGTATCAGCTTGTTCCAGCTCTTTATTACAGCTGCATTGTGTTTATGACTGAAATATTCAGTGTTTCTTAAGTCTGTAGTCTAGTCAATTATGTTGACAATTATATTTAGAACCATTTAAAATTGTCTTTCAGTGCACAATTTTGTATATAATCAATGTTCATATTGTATTTAGAACTAGTTTTTTAAACATTGAATACACCTTGAATGTCTCTACTTCGACCAGTAAAGCTTAACCTGTCTCATCAAATTTTATTCTAGATGTCGTGTGGATTGTTCTATTCACATTCCCCAAATTCAAATTCCTGTGGGGTGTAACAAAGTGCAGCAGGAGTGTGCACTGAGCTAGTAAGGTGGTGGATTTTGTTTTCTTGAACATATTTTATACACCCAACCTGCTGTTGTGTTTGTACGTTAACAACTGTGCAGTACCTCTGCCTTTTGGTGTGACTTCTGTGACCAGGTCTTCCACTGTGACATGCTCCAGGCCTTTTTCTCTGATCACATCTGGATACAAGAATTAGTGGCTATAGTGATGAGGTTTTTAGGACCACACTTCTATTACTTCCAAACATACTCTCACTACCTTTACAGTGCGCTTTCAGTTGATCCTTCCATCCACACTCCACCAGCTTGGCCCTGAGTAACTCTTTCAACCTGCCATTACACAAACGTCTGAATGAATATCTGAAAAACCACTGCTATCTCTAGACAATTCATGATCAAATCACTGAGAAAAAAGGCTCGCTTACCGCTCCCGCTCCCCCATTTCTATTAGCTTCTGGTTTATTGCAGCCCTCATTTGGGAGTCTTTGCTCATGATCTAAGAATTATTTAAAATAGCAGCTGTATCAGTTTCTATGATATGATATGATATGACAAAAACATAGAAAAATGTTTACTTTAGCAGTCAACAACCTAAACGTTACCTTTTGTTCGAATGGATCAGCTGGGGAACATACAGTCCGTTTACGCAACGGTACCGTCTAAAACTATAAAAGTATAACAGTTCCGCTTTGGCAGTGGTAAGCTAATTCGCCGCAAACCGATTAAAATTGCACAACTACGAAACATCTGTTCATCTTCCAGGGACTGATTTTGGGCTGCAATGGTTAAATAAGAACATTTAAGGGACAAAAATAGTTTTATGAGGAACTAAAAGATAACTCAACTTTTCATGAACTCCCGGGAAGGTCGTGTTCGTTGTAAAATGGCTCCGTGTGCAACAAGCCAGGAAACGTGTCTTTTTGACTTCACCACCACCATCATCATCATCTTCATCATCTTGTTGTATAGCCTGTGAACAACTTGTACCAGTAATATTTAAAAGACATGGCCGCGTCTAATTATTCCTTGAAGGTCAACAGAGACTTGTTAGACCCAAACTTTGAAAGTTACAGGTTATCTCTGGACGCCATACCGACGTACAACGTAGAACTGGATGCTGGTGAGAGATTATAGTACAGTTAGCAAGTGTGCTAACCTAGCACTAATACAAGACTGAAAGCTCTGATATATCACTGTTATCATAGCTATTTGCACAAACAAGTAACATGCTGGATAAATTAACACATTATTTTTTACATTTAATGTTTGCTAGTAATAGGAAACGTGCATTGGCTATGCTAACTAGCTCTGAAACTGCTGTTGCTGTAAGCCAGTGGTTCAAAGCTGATGTGTGGTTCCCCACTTATACCTCAGGGAGTCTTAGGGGGTCCTAAGATAATGAAGAATATTTAAAGTCGTTGTATTGTAATACTAGAACTGCAACAATTAGGCAATTAATCAATTAGTCTGTTAACAGAAAATGTTAAAAATTGGTAGGCAACTATTTTGGAATATTTATTTTTAACAATTTTTGGCAACAGTGCCAAACAGGTGCTGGCTTAATTTTTATATGTGAGGATTTAATGCTGTTCTTTGTCATACACATACATGGTAAACTGATTATCCTTGGATTTTGAACTGTTAATCACACATTTAAATCATTTAAAAACTTCACTTTGGGCTGTGGCAAAGTATAACGGGCTTTTTTCCACAAATTTCTGATATTTTATAGACAAAGAAAATAATTTGCAGATTAATTGATGATCTGAATAATTACTAGTTGCAGCCCTATTTAATTGGCTGCTCATTATTTTAAAACATTGATGTTTCATAATTTCATTTAATTAGTTGTCTACTGAAAACTATTATTAATGAATTGTTTTGTGAGGAAGTTTATTATCCACAATGTGCAAAATTGTCTTTGGCTTCACCACATCCCATTGTAAACAACTGTGATTTACTGTATTGTATTGTATTTACTGGTATGTTTTTAAGATGGCGCTAACATCCACCTTTTCCCATTCATTTTGGCTGCTGCAGATAAACACCTTTACACATATAGGTGTAAAACAGGTTTATTTTTGCATATCGCAAGGTCATTAAGTATAGTTAAGTACAGACCATAATTCTACTACTTGTGTTACATATTAAGTGACATCCAAAAATGATCACAAATGTCATTTCCACAGTACATCATATATCATACAAAAATAAGAGCCTGGACTGTTAGAGGAATGGTAGAGTGTAAGTCTTCATCATTGAAAAGGAAAAATGTAACTAGGGTCAAGTGTTGTCTACTTTTCTTGGCTTTTTTAACCTTTTGTTTTTTCATCTGTACTGCAGCTGTGGAGGAAGTTAAACTGAAGGATACTCAGTACACCCTGGAGCATATGCGTGCTTTTGGCATGTACAATTACCTGCAATTAGACCCTTGGTATGAAGATAGTGTTTTGTTTGTGGACTGCAAAGGACGGGTTCTCAGTCTCACTGTCACCCTGGTGAGCTTTTAAATCTTCCTTGTTTTTTCTGGAACTGATTGTTACCAGTACTCTTTTATATGTTTGTGTTACGGGAACATGCAGGCCTTTTTAGTGCCAGTTTGTTGTCAACACGGGCTACCCACCAGTATCTAGGAGTGTGTGTATTTAGGGTTCATGTCAAACAAAACCATGGTGATTCTGATGTTGGGACAGTGGAATTACTGGTGCACTTTAATGCATCTGACACACCAGCAGGTGCTGATCAAATGCTTGAGTAATAGCAGCACTAGCCCATGATGCATTTCCGGCAGGTGATGTTGTGAACAAATGATTAACATTTTTAAAGTTGCAATATAAATATAGCTCATTATAATTTTCCTTACTTGCTTTTTTTTTGTTTAACATGCTCAACAGAGACATTCAGGGCGGGTGAAAGTCTCAGTATTCACAGGTCCTTACATGGCTTTTTGTTCTGGTTTAACATCATATGAACAAGCACAGAAGGTAACGTTTTGGATGAGTCTTTGTGTGTCTCTGTCACAGGAGTGACTGCATAATTGACTCAAGGTACTGATCCAGGTTTGGTACCCAATACCAGGATGCTGAGACGAGGAGCAAAATCAGCCCAGTGACTTCTTCAACTAAGACTTCTTTCATGTCTACAGCATCATTGACCATGATTAGAGATAATTGGTGCCACATCAATGTATTTTATGTGTGAACTGGCCTCATCATTTCAGTGGCATCATTAAATGGCTCTTTATGGAAATGTGTTGCCCAAAGTCTAATTACAATCATCGTATGATAATTATGGTTTCTGGCAGGGCTTTTTGTGTACTTTTTCCAGAGAAGTGTTGCTCGGCACATTGTTCGTAGGTGGTTCACGCTCTGTTTGGGGCCTTAATATGATCTCAAAGGAGCATCATACATTAGGTGGTGATATACTAATACACAGTGTCATGCTGTCATGGCAACAACAGGACAGCTGCTGCATAGTCCTTTTGAAATGCTGTTAATTTACACAATGAGTAATTGATGCTCATGTGGTGGCATATCTGTCTATTACTAACAAGACCTTCACGTGGGCGTCCGCATGACAGTTTCATCTCTCCTTGATGAGTATATGCTTTTTTCTGTTATTCAGCTTTCATGTAGAAGGAATCTTCCTGTGCCCTTTTAAGAATAAGAACATTATGGAAATGATTTGTTTGTGTGTTTTCATATCAGATGCCAATAACACAATTTTCTTATGGGATTAGAGTGTCCCATTCAGTATGAGAGCAGCGACCTTTCTCTTCATCTGCAGTACAAAGCCCTCTCTTATTAAGTGGCTCTGATTGCGTCTTTGTGCGTCATGACTGGGCTGCTTGAAGAAAGTAGTCAGGTTGGTTGGCAGCAGTGAGAACAGATACTGTATATCATCCATTTAACATTATTCTAGAATCTGTTCTGTTTTGTTGTAACTTGCAATAAGGTTCATGCATAACTGTTGAAACATTTTGTCGTCGATTTGTTCATGAAATAAAATTTGTTTTCATGCAACATTTTCTGGTTTCATCTTCTCAAAAGTGAGGATTTGCTGCTTTTCTTTTTCATACAGTATATGACAACAAATGTGATGAGCCGTCCCTGGTAGACTAGTGGTTAAGGCCTGGGTTCGACTCAGGGTTGCGTCAGGAAGGGCATCCGGCATAAAACACATGCCAAATGTCAGCATGCGAGTCAGTGTGATGATCCACTGTGGCGACCCCTAAACGGGAAAAAGCCGAAAGTGACTTTCTTTCTATATGACAACAAATGTTGTGTAAAACAAGCAGCTTGGAGATGTCACCTTGGGCTTTGAGAAATTGAAGAAAGTGCATTTTTTCACTGGTTTTTGACATTTCATTGGCCAAATAAATAATCTTAATTGAATACTGAAGAAAAAATTGTTAGTTACTCTGTCCAACAACACAGTCAGATCTGCTCCCTGCCAATATCCCTGATGTGTTGTTTCTTTGGATGTAGTACTGTGAGGAAAGTTCTTTTAGGCTGACTGATGTATTGTGATTCCAGGACACCGCCCTGGGGAAGGCGAGAGAAGTCTTCCATATAACTGAGTCCAGCCAGTGTGAGGATCGTCTTTGTGCATCCTTGAGTCTCACTTCAGCGACCTGGGCCGCTCTCTCTGATGGCACCGGCCGACTGTACGTCCTCCGCACCAGCAAGAGGGGAGACAGCTCCCACATGAAGTGGGAAGTAAGTATAGCAACAGGTATCTTTGTGTGTTTTCCATCATTTAGACATCTTCCAGAGAATGCAAAGTATATACCTATGGTATAATCTAGCAGTCACTGTGAAGGTAAACTGACACTAGCTAATCCATGACCGGTGCAACAACACAGTCTGTCACAGATTGCACCCTTCTCAGAATTGTCTAAAGATGACACAGTATCACAGTAGAAATAAGTAGGTCAGCAGAGCTTCTGCACACTGGAAATATGTCAGCATGTAGCATTATAGTCACAGTGTTGCTGTGTCATCTGCTTTTTTTTGATTGACATCATGATTTTTCATTTGTAACTGACACTTGATGTACTCCCAGTAACTCGCTGATTGCTCTCTTCACAACTGTTGTAGATTAGACTGGGAGAAATTGGATGTGCAGAAAGTGGGTGTTCAAATAATCATTTAATCACTGTAAAAGCAGTTAATAAAAAGAGCGAGGTAATTGTCACTGTGACAAAATCTCAAGTGGCTGGTGAAATATTTAGTCTGGTGAGGTTCTAGTTTTTTTTTTTCATGTCAGCAAATCACACTGAAAGACCAAAACCTAGTGTGAACTCATAGGAAGTATTGCCTGTATAGTCAAAGCCTAGTCCCTCTGTGCCATAAAGCTCCACTGTTGTCTGTAAACTGTAAAAACATGTCATTGTTGCACTGGGTGGCACATTTTTTTTCATAAAAATGAACATGAGTACTCAGTCTCTTTATGAAGATATAACCAGAAAATAGAGGAAATATGTACACAATATTAAAAACACAAACTTTACAAAATAAATTGACTGATGCAGTCCAAACTCAACATTTAGTGTGATAGCTTGAATTCTTTTGGGGAGACTGTCATGGAGTCTTGAAACCATGACAGCTGGCCATTATAAATGGACTTGTATTAGAGAGGACTGAAGCCTTTGACAAAATGAGTCATTGTGCACTTAATCCTGTTAACAGGCATGCAGTTAAGGTTGGCTACAAAGGAGAGTCCAGTCTGTGAGCAAGCACACTTCATGCAACTCTGAAAGCAAAGTTCAAGAGTGGAATTTGTAATGAAGATTTAAGCCCTCGAGTTGGTAACTTCCAGTGTTCTAATTTTAAATTTCAGCACTCAGAGATCCCAGCCAAGCAGCAGAGCATCTTTCACTGTGTTGTGTGTGTTGGTGAGATAATAAACTGACTCACAGACCAGCTATATTCATGCATTCACATTAAAGTCAGGCCTCTCAGCATCATCACTTTCTTTAGCCAGAGGACTGTAGACAATGATGCAGAAATACTAGTTTGAATTAGCATTTTATTGATGTTATAAAGACAGATCTCTCCTTTCTAAGGTGCAGTATAGACCATTTGAAGCCATTTGATGCTGTGGCCTTGATTTAAAAAATCTTTTACAGCTACATTGTAGCCCTTAATCATTATAACCATTACCCTTTTCTTATCTTATAAAGAATAATACAAGGATAAAGCTGTATTTCATGCTCGGTTCTAGAGCTATTGTAGTCTTATTTTCATGAGAAGGTGCAGCAACATCTCTCCTCTCTTAGTACAACATTTTGTCATAGTCATTATTTTCATGATATTCAGCTTACAGTGATGTAAACCAGAGAAAAGAAACACATTTAAAAAGGTGAGAACAGTGAATGTTCGGCAGCTTTGCTTTGATAAACTACATAAACGGTTAATTATGCTAAATTAATTCATTGAAGGTGGGCTAATCGATATTTCATAATTTCAGTTCTAGTCACATTTGGTACTAGTGAGCATTGAATGAGCATTAATTTCATATCACTTGGTGTTACCTGTGTGCGGGAACTTCTGCAACAGTGTAGAACGAATGTCACAAGTGTGTTCAACAGTTGAATTGAACTACATTCCTATACAGCACAACTCAAAAATGGAAGTTCTATAAATCTTTTTTACCATAGAGTCTTTGAAAACATTGAAGATTATTACATAAATGTTAGTGATCACAGTCAGATGTTGCCCACTGTTGACTGTGTTCTCATAAAATGCTAAAATTATTGGTTGCTCCTGTACTTGCAGCCGCTGTTCAGTGAAGTCCTGGGGGAGCCTTTCATCATCCTCCACAGTATCTCGCATGTCCAGGCTGGAGTCCACAACATGGAGGTTCTGCTGCTCCGCGTCCAAAAAGACCCGCAGGAAACCAAAGGAAGCGGATACTCGGTTTCTCTCGAGTGGATCACAGTTGCCAACACCGCAGGACATGGTGGGTGGTGCACTGGCCCAGTGTAATTTTTGGTAATTAGGCATGAAGTAAGATAAGACAAGCATGTCATACATAATTAGAATTGGAATTTCAAGCTTATTATTTCACACATGCATTTTCACAGTATTCATATCCAGCAGATGACAGAAATCCTTGTTAATTAAATCATACTAGGAAGTTAGTTATAGGCTGCCTCTAATGGAGTTTAATTATCATGTCCCAGATGAGTTTAGTAGACTCTGAAGCAAACACTGGCATGAAGGAGTTTCATTAAGGTGTCTGGCACTTGCTGAGAAAGAAAGACCCTGACTGATTAAAAGACTGGATAGGAAAAACACAGAAGCAGCCTTTTGGGAGCCCCTTCCTTGTTTGGTTGGATTTAAAGATGATGCCCTCTGATATCTGCTTTCTGTACCTTAATCTTTTGTTGATTGTTTAGTGATTCAATGTCTGTCACAGATCTGCATTCTGATCATGCAAATCGGCTCTCTGGTCTAGGCTTTCAATTTGGATTTACAGTTGTATCAGTCAGCAGGGTTTGAATATCACTGCAGAGGGAATCCATGTCTATAAAATCGGTTCTGTCATACTGCATATTTTATGGAGGGTAGGAACAGTGTCATTAGTCTCAATATGCCCATGTAGAATATTCTATCCATCCATTCATTATCTATACCACTTATCCTGAAGAGGGTTGTGTGGGGGCAGAAGCTGGAGTACCTGGAGAGAACCCACACAGGCACAGGGAGAACATGCAAAATATTCTTTAAACACAATTTAATCAATGTTTGCAAACAATAGCTCTGTGGGCTCTGTTTCTATTCTAGCAGGTACAAACCTGGTAATGTGTTGTCCTGTTGCTCTGTGCGCTGTTTTAACCTGCATCTACCTGTCAGTGGAGCAGCTGTCGAATTTGTCTCCACAACAACTTAAGAAGAGTCTCGTCTCTTTTGTTTCTCAGGAACTTTTCAGGGAAGACAATATTACAAGGAATTTGACATTCACTGTCTAAATTACAGAAGATTCAGTCTGTTTGATATGCATTGAATGTTTTTAGGATTTTCCCCTCATTATCTACACCACCAGACAAAAGTTGAGAACGCCTCCATTTGTTATTAGTCTAATTCCAACAGCTGAACACACCTGTGTCATTGTTTCTACAACTGACCCTGGGAGGGTCTGACTTCCTTTATTAATGTAAAGCATTGTGAGGTTTTACCTGCTATAATTATCAGCCTTATTAATTTGACTGAAAGCCATTTGTCAGCAGTTACAGATATTGTTATAATAAGGGAACTGGCAGGTGTTTTTATTATTTTGCCCATCCCATTTATATCAGCAAGGGTAGGCTGAATAACAGAAATACCTCTGTGTGTTAATCAGTACAGCTCAACAGCAGCATCAGCTACAGCCTCAAAAGGTTAAATTCAAGATTTTTATTTGCCATTTATGCATAAAGAGACAGTCTAGGCATATACTGTAAGAATTCTTGTGTAGCTCTCCTTTGGAGTCAGGGAAGGAGTCAAAAGCCAGAAAGAACACTTAGTCTTCATATTTGCCTTTATCATCATTAGTCATTTAGGTCAACATTGGATCATTCAGAGATCCTCACTGAACTTCTGGAGAGAGTTTGCTGCACTGAAAGTAAAGGGGCTGAATAATTTTGCACGCCCAATTTTTCAGTTTTTTATTTGTTAAAAAAGTTTGAAATATCCAATAAATTTCGTTCCACTTCATGATTGTGTCCCACTTGTTGTTGATTCTTCACAAAAAATTACAGTTTTATATCCTTATGTTTGAAGCCTGAAATGTGGCAAAAGGTCTCAAAGTTCAAGGGGGCCGAATACTTTCGCAAGGCACTGTAAAGGAATTCTTGTCAATCAACATCCATCTAAAATATTAATGCAAAAACTGAACACTTTCTGTTGCTTTAGATTGCATTAGTTTAGCTAGGTGTGCCCAATAAACGTCTTATAAAACAATAACAGTAAATGCAGAAAGTTCTTAAGTTGGCATCATCACTGATAAACAATGATACAGCTGCTCCATGTTCACATGAGGTTGTAGATTAGTTACATTTTGTTTTAGCAGTGAATATGTGGCAGAATAAAGGAATGGATATGCAGTGTTTTCCCTACCATTATATTAGGAGGGCATCCCCCCACCCCCCCCTTGAAGGTCAAATTCATTTTATTTTCTATATAGTGCCAGATCACAACAGAAGTCATTTAAGGTTACCTTGTTCTTTTATTAAACATAGCCTTATGCTATGTATTTTATTTAGATGGCGGCATGTCATTTCTGTCTCTACATGGTTGCGCATTTAGAATTCTCCTCTGAGTTCCGCCCCGTTGCGCGTGCACACACACACACACACACACACACACACACACTGACACGTATGTGCACACACAGGTGAGCACACTCCCACCAGTGGACACAACAGGCTTTGGAAAATATGTTGTGTCAAGCACCTGACAAGCAAACGCCGCGGGTCGAGTGCTACTTTGTGCCCCGAGCCCTGCTTGGGCGCCGCGGCAAACAACGGTGTGCGCAGCAATATACGTAGCTATAAAAGATGGCTCCATCCAGCTACAGCCAGATCCCTTCTGATAGACGTCAACTCTGCATCTGTCTGACAAACAGATACTTAAGCCCCGCCCTATGCAAACGGTTACTGTTGGGAAAATGCTTTGTCATGGCTTGGTCGAATACTCAAGATGTTACACATTTGTATATGCAGGTGTTTTGGTTTAAAGCAGATGATGTATTCTTGCTTGAGCTGATCCACATACAGTAGTTCCCACAAATACCAGACCACAAGTATGCAGAGGAGTTTGTGAATGCACCCCGCCCTGTCTGACAACATCAACACGTGACAGACTGATTAACAGGGCTGGAAATCCTGAAACTAGCAGGAACTGCCACAGTACCGACTTGACTGTATAAATAGGCTCAGTTGAGAGCGCCTCTCTGAGCATTGAGAGAGATTGTTCTACAGAGGAATCATCGAGTCTGTTCTCAGCACCTCCATCACTGTCTGGTTTGGCTCAGCAACCAATCAGGACAAGTACAGACTTCAGCGGACAGTCAGGACTGCAGAAAAGGTCATTGGTGTGAGCCTGCCCTCCATGGAGGACCTGTACACTTAAGTACTCTGTTTTATCCCTATTTATCTCATTTCAATGAACATTCCTTTGTTGTCTGCATTGTTTACTGTCTGTTTATACTGCTTTTTCTGCATTGTTTGCACTATTTGTTGATGTTAATACTGCTATTTTGTTATATTACACAGCCTATGCTGCTTTACTGTTTGCACATTGGGAGCCGATGTACCTGAGTCAAATTCCTCGTGTCCGTCACACCTGGCCAATAAAGCTGATTCTGATTCTGATTCTGATTGTTTACATGCAGCTAAATTGTATGTGTCTGACACTGTGTTTGTCTTGTATGTTTACTTATGCCCCGCCCCTGCACCAAAGGTTCCTTGTGCCTTACACCAACGGCTACTTATGCCCCATCTTATTTGCACAACAAAAGAGGGGTTTGATCGGGGAAACTGATGAACACCATGGTCCCTGTAAGTGTTTGTGTCGGTGAAGTGATTTGTACTAACTATGTGCGAGTCCAGTAAAATAAGCTGAGCTCTGACATGAAACATATTGATGCTGGTGTACTTCCTCTCTGTCAGAGTTTTATAGAAGACAAGATTAATTTACCCATTTATCACTGTGGCCTTTCGTTTCTTCATTCAGTTCAAGAGAAGAAGTATGAGGTGACGAAGAGGAGGGTCCTCAGGGGGAAGTCGGTGCCTCACTACGCAGCAGTGGAGCCACAGGGGAAGGGGCTAATGGTGGCCTCGGAGAAACCGTTTCTCTTCACACATGTGGACGGTCAACCTGTGGAGCAGCCCGAGCCAGAGCCCATGGAGGTGGAGAAGACAGGTGGGTCAGAGGTGCTGCTGGGAAATCTGCCAGCACACTGCTACAGAGTTATTATTGTTGTTAGGGACTTCACTTCTTCACAAACGTGCAGGTATTTAGCACTTAAAAAAATATTGTTTTCATGCCACTAACTGTTATTTTATATGAACTTCAGAAGCCAAAAGTGGAAGGGAAAGCTAGTAAACCACCATCATCACCACACACTACCATAAACACTGAGGGTTCTTTTTGGGTTTCAGAGAATGTTAAGGGTTATGCATAAGAATATTTTAGTCTGTGAACAGTTTAGAGAAGTGATTTATTTACTTTAATACTTTTTGGCATATGGGGTAAAGGATCACATCAAGTCAAACACATCCTATTTTCACTCCACAAAGTTGAGCTATATATACAGCCAGCTGACATATTTAAGTCTAATATTTCGTCTCCACCAACTCTTGTAAAAGATTCCTTGCTCTACTTACTTCACCGCCTAGCTGCTAACTTTGTCTGTTTGCTGTTTAGTGCCGCGTAGGTTGCATATTTTGCATTTCTTAGAGTCCTTTCACTGAGAACAGCTGCTGCCGCTGCTGCTAACAAGGCTGATGAAAGCATCTTTGAGCCGTAAACCAGAGGCTGAAAATTACTGTAGAAACAGTTCTCTGTGGGCTTGTCACCACAAGCAGCTGCTATTCATTATGTTTTCATTTGTGCCATTATTAATACAAGAAAACACCCATTTTCTGATTAACAAAACATAAAACTAATGCTAATATTTAATTTTACAAAGGAAAAATAAGCTCTAATTTCTGTGTAGGATGTAATTCCTGGAAGTCAGGTGGACCTTTTATTAAATATTGTCTGCTATATTATAAAAATTCACAAATCTAGCCACAGGGGTTGCAAGCCAGTGACTTCTGTGCCGGTCCCAAACCCGGATAAATAGAGAGGGTTGCGTCAGGAAGGGCATCCGGTGTAAAAACATGCCAAATTTAAACATGCGAATCATCAGTGTGAACTCCATACCGGATCGGTCAAGGCCCGGGTTAAGAACGACAGCCACCAGTGCTGTTGACCTACAGGGTGCTGGCGGAAATTGGACTACTGTTGGTTGAAGAAGGAGAGGAGGTAGAAGGATTTGTAGACAGAGAAGAGGAAAGGCAGGAGTATAGGTCTGAGAATAGGGACTCTTAACATTGGCACAATGACAGGGAAAGGTAGAGAGCTGAGACATGATGGAGATAAGGAAGGTAGATATACTGTGTGTGCAGGAGACC